ACCGGGCACTTCTGTTTCCTTGCCGGTCAAGCCACTGATTGATCTAGATGCCGATCATCCCGCTCTCGTCGTGTCATTTAGTTTACCTTCGCCGATTGTTTTTACGCCGTCATCTGAGTGCTACTCTTTGGACTTTCGCCGAGCTGATTATGTTGCGGAAATTGATTGATTGCCTCCATTGTCTAACCCACGCCTATGCGTGCTAAAACGTCAACGCTCTGCCGCCCTCCGAAAGTATTGTAACTCTCGCTCGCCGTACTACAAACGACTGTTCAATTTTGCGAGTCGCAGTTATCGGAATTACAATCGTTTTCTCTATAATCGACACGTGAGACGCACGGAAGCGAACCTTCGCACGAATCGGAAAAGTTTTTGGTCGTTTGTCAACTCCAAGCGGAAGGAATCCGGGTTGCCTTGTTCAATGTTTCTCGGGAATGACTCGACTAACAGCGAAAGAGAAAAAGGCGACTTGTTTGCTCGTCATTTCAAGCAAGTGTTCCACGATTTCTCCGCTTCGCCGACACAAGTGCTGGATGCTGCTGTTGGGATGCCACGTGATGTGTTTAGTTTCGATATTTCACGCATTTCAGAAGACATGGTTTAGCCGGCGCCGGTGGTGTAGTGGTAAGCGTGACTGCTTTCTAACACCCCGATGGGTCTGGGTTCAATCCCAGCCGAGGTTGGTGGGATTTTTCTGAGGCATAAAAATCTCTGGTCACGTCTTCCTTCGGAAGGGAAGTAAAGCCGTTGGTCCCGGCCCATGTGTGTTGAATGGGTGCGATATCCTACGCAGGTGTGGAAGCTGCCTTCCTGCACATTCGATTGCCGTCAATGGATGGCAATCGATGTCCGTCGGTGATTGGCACTAGATTGCGGAACAGAGACCGATGTTAAATAAAGGAAAGAAGAAGAAGAAGAAGAAGAAGAAGAAGAAGAAGAAGACATGGTGATAGCTCTCGGTCGCCGCCGGACCTGACGGCATTCCGTCATCAGTTCTAAAACGTTGTGTAGCCAATCTCTGCCTTCCAATTGCGAGCTATTCAATCTCTCGGCACAGCAATGTGAGTTCCCCTGCCGCTGGAAACTTTCTTATCTGTTCCCAGTCTACAAAAAAGGAGATAAACGGAATGTCGCAAATTATCGTGGAATCCCTGTGTGCCTGCTCAAAACTGTTCGAGATTATCATAAATGATGCTCTGTTCGCGTGTTGCTAAAATTATATCGATACAGAACAACACGGCTTTTACCCGAAGCGCTCCGTGTCCGCGAACCTGGGGCAGTTTACTTCTAACTGTTGCATGGATTCAGGATGGCAAGTCGATGCTGCGTATAGGGATCTTAAAGCTGTATTTGACACGGTGGACCATAATATCTTGCTTGCCAAGCTGGAGATACTTGGCGTCTCGTCAACGGCTGTGGATTGGTTCAGATCTTACTTGGTGAATCGGATGTTTTCTCAAACAACTCGGGGGTTCCGCAAGGCAGTAACATAGGACCGCTACTGTTTTCGACCTGTTTAAACGACGGTGCCTTTCTGATACCATCAGGATGCCGCATTTTCTATGCGGATCATACGAAAATCTACAAAATTATTAAAAAATCCCTCGGACTGTTGGAATCTCCAGAATATGTTAGGTATTTTTGCTGACTTGTTCTCAAGAAATTTTATGAGTCTAAGCATCGAAAAATGTCACATTATTTACTATCACCGAAAAATTTAACCAATCATGTTTGACTATGTTCTCTACAGACGCTGTCTTGCTCGTAAAGAGCACATAAAGGATCTCGGCGTTAACTTGGACTGCAGACTTACTTTCAGAATCCACTACAATGACATCATCTCCAGAGCTAGTCGACAATTGGGCTTTATTTTCAAAATTGCCGAAGAGTTCCGTGACCCGCTATGCCTCAGGTCACTCTACTGCTCGCTTGTGCGATCCTTATTGGAGTCAAGTGTAGTTGTTTGGTGCCCTTTCCATGCTACTAGAATCACTAGAATTGAATCCGTTCAACGCAAGTTTGTGAGATATGCTCTTCGTTTCTTCAACTGGCGTGACGAACTTCCAACGAACTTGGCACCGTACGAGGAGTGTTTCCGTCTCCTGGGAATCGAACCATTAGAGGTAAGACGGACGGTCACTCAAGCTATGTTCGCTGGAAAGCTGCTTACGTGTGACATTGACTATCCAACACTGCTGGTTCATCTAAATATGTATGCCCCTGAGAGGCCTCTTCGTCAACGCGACTTTCTGTTTTTGTAACCACGGCGCCGAAATTATGCACAGCACGAGCGACTTCTATTATATGTTCGACTTTAAAGTATCATCTGACGTGTTTCGTCATCGGTTACTTGGCCTTTTCCATACCGTTGACCGTAACTATTTAATTTAACGGCGCCGGTGGTGTAGTGGTAAGCGTGATTACCTCTCACCCCAGCAGGCCTGGGTTCAATCCCAGTCGGCGCCGCCGGGATGTTCTGAGGCATAACATCTCTGATCACGCCTTCCTTCGGATGGGAAGTAAAGCCGTTGGTCCCCGGTTCATGAGTTGATGGGTCGATACGTAGGGGCCAGGTGTGGGAAGTGCCTTCCTGGCACGTCGGTAGCATTGGTGCTCAGCACGGAAAACAAGATCGACGGAAAAAACAAACCAAAGGAACTATTTAGTTTCAGTTTTATTAATTTAGACAATAATTGTCAGTTGAATTTTTCAATATACAAATAAACAAATAAACAAATACTATGAATTTTTGTTACATGGGAATCTAAACATGCTAAATACCACGGTTCTCCTTCAGATGAATTTTCCGTGCTATCCGACAATTCATCCGAATTAGAGACTGTATAAAAATATCAACTGTAGCCTCAACAACATTTCCAAAGACTCCTTAAAGAATGGTTTGGATTTCGTTCGTGGTGTTTGTCTCATTCCTAGGCAAAAACGGAAATTTACATGATGAAAGTAGAAGATCCGAGTTTAGAGCCAGCCTTTGAGCACGTCTCTGTTACACGATTATCTAAAAAAAAATCCTGGCGAAATTCCCAAAGGCAAGTTCATCACGACAATCCGATAAAAAAAAAATTTGGTGCTCAAGTCCGGCTAATCCTCTGCTGGCACACGCGCGCATATTCACAGACATTTTCCGATCTCGATCTGAAAGCTTCCTTGTAAAAACGGCAGAAAAACACAATGTTTGGTGTAAACTAACATATCTTATATGCTGAAGATACATGAGACGACATGAGTTTTTGCACTTAAAAGAAAATACAAATTTTGCAATTTACGCGGATTTCGGAATTCACGCGGTTTTGTTTTTACGCGGCACGTATCCCCCGCGTAAAAAATCGACTCCAGTGTATTATGAAATGCATTAAAAAAGTATAGTTGTTGTGCAGTTAAACATAAATTTCTTCAAAATATTATAAAATCGAGCTGAAAAAATGCTTCCAACGTACTCGGAGGCAGTTAGGAGCAGGGTTTTTTGTGGCAACAATAAGCGAAGCCAGCTTGCATCAACTTCAACTGATTCACATCACCCGAATCCAGCCGAATTTTTTGCTACTTATTTACATCACCGTTAATAACTCATGTTTGATTCAAATTAATATGTTCTTAATTACCTGCCTGAATAGAGTCCATCCTAGATGTCTCTTTAAAAAAGTAACTTGAGTTGACTAATTGCACGAAATCACACGACCAACTCGAAAGTCAACTTTGAACTGCTATAGCAAGCGAAACGATAGGTAAAAGATAAAAACAAGTAAGTTCACCTATTATTAACGTGTTCAATTCACTTATTCATTTAAAGTTAGCCCCCTTTCGAAAAAATGGGTTTTGGCCTGCTAGATTTGCCAAATACCCCTCCGTGCGCCGGTGGCAGGGTTTCGTAGAGATAAATTAAGCAATTTCCAAATGTTTTCCCTACTCGTGACTAGTGGGAGATTTGTTTCCTTATGACTACGGTTGTGTTTAGAGGATGGTTGGGAATCGCTTTACCCTTGGGTGAATGTTGGAAGTATGTTTTGATTTCCAACCCAAGTGGTCCTCTGAGTTGTTTACGAATATCAGTTAGGGTTTAATTGGTGCCTTTAGCCTTTTTATTGAAAACCTATACAGCCAATAATCCACAACTCGATGGCCTCTAATTCGATAATCTAGCAATGTTTGAAAAATAATAGCCCAGTTATTTCTTAATGAATTTAAAATCTATTGGCGTAAATCCAAACCAGTAAAATCGACCTTTCAGATGCGTTCTTGCAGGTGGAGGTGGATGAAAGCTGTCGAGAGTTGCTCACCATCAACACACATCGAGGTCTCTATCGGTACAATCGGCTTCCACCGGGAGTTAAGGCAGCACCCGGAGCGTTTCAGCAGCTTGTGGACACAATGCTCGCTGGACTCAACTACACTTCGGGGTATCTCGATGATGTTCTAGTCGGCGGAGTTGACGAAGCGGACCATTATTGGCGCAACCTTCAAGCCGTCCTTCGTCGAATTCAGGAGTTCGGATTCACCATCAAAGCGGAAATGTGCTCGTTTGGCCAGTGTCAAATCAAGTATCTGGGACACCTCATCGACGGGCAAGGTCTCCGTCCGGATCCAGCGAAAAATGAATCTATCTGCAATATGCCAGCGCCGACAGACGTTTCTGGGAGCGATCAATTACCACGGGAAATTCGTCCCGAGTATGCGTACGTTGCGATATCCGCTGGATGCGCTTCTCAAAGCCGACAAGAAGTTCGTTTGGTCAGTGGAATGCGACAAGGCCTTCTCCACCTTCAAGCAGATTCTCACTTCAGATTTGCTTCTGACGCACTACAACCCGCAACGCGAGGTAGTGGTAGCAGCGGATGCGTCATCGGTTGGAGTTGGTGCGACCATTAGCCACAAGTTTCCAGACGGATCGATTAACGTCGTGCAGCATGCTTCTAGAGCAAGCCTACAGTCATCCAGACCGTGAGGGGCTCGCGATCATCTTCGCTGTGACCAAGTTCCACAAGATGCTGTTTGGTCAGACCTTCACACTACAAACTGATCATGCTCCACTTCTTCGGATCTTTTGTTCGAAAAATGGCATCACAGTCTATACGGCGAACTGGCTACAACGTTGGGCTTTACAGTTGCTGCTCCACGACTTCAACATTGTTTACGTAAACACAACAAAATTCGGAAACGCCGATATCCTGTCCCGGTTGATCGATCAACACGTCAAACCAGAAGAAGACTCCGTCGTAGCCAGCATCATCACGGAGAACGATGTAAGATCCATTGCATTAGATGCAGTTAACGCACTTCCTCTCAGCTTCAGGGCAATTCAGCACGCCACCCGTTTCGACCCTGTACTTTGCAAGGTCTACCGTTTCGTCCAGCAAGGTTGGCCACAGTTAAAAACGGCCATTTCGAACCGTGAGATCCAGCAATTCTTCAACCGAAGTGATTCGCTATCTACGGTTCAAGGGTGCGTGATGTTTGCCGAACGTTTAGTGATTCCGACCGATTTCCGGATGCGTTGCCTACACCATCTCCATCGTGGTCATCCGGGTATTCAGCGCATGAAAGCGATTGCGCGCAGCTTCGTTTACTGGCCGTCTATCGACTCGGATATCGCTGCGCATGTCAAAGCGTGCCGTCACTGCGCAGTTGCAGCCAAGAGTCCGCCCAAAGCACCGCCGCTGTCGTGGCCCAAGTCAACGTATCCATGGCAGCGCGTCCACATCGACTACGCTGGGCCAATCGAAGGAGAGTACTTCCTGCTTAGCGTCGATTCGTACTCAAAATGGGTGGAAATCGTCAGAACCAAGTCGATAACAGCCACTGCAACCATCGGAATCCTACGAAGTCTCTTCGTTCGCCTTGGTATGCCAGAAACGCTAGTCAGCGACAACGGTACGCAGTTCACCAGTGCCGAGTTCACACAACTCTGCCTCGAGAACGGTATCGATCACGTGACAACTGCGCCGTTTCATCCGCAGTCCAACGGCCAAGCTGAGCGTTTCGTGGACACCTTCAAGCGAGCGGTCAAAAAGATTCGAGAGGGGAGAAGATCAATTCAGGAAGCACTGGACACTTTTCTGTTGACCTACCGAACCACACCAAACCTGTCAGCACCACAAAGCAGATCTCCGTCCGAAGTAATGTTTGGGCGTAGAATTAGGACCAGTCTGGACTTACTCCGTCCACCAGCCGTTCGGGAAACGACTGCTCAACCAGATTCAAGGTTGTTCAGTAAAGGTGATCTACTATACGCCAAGGTGCACTCTAACAATTCGTGGAGATGGGCATCAGGAGTGATTCTGGAGGGAGTGGGACAGGTGATGTTCAACGTATGGGTTGAAGATAGGCGCATGATTCGTTCGCACATCAACCAGCTGCGAAGCCGAACGAACGCCGACAGTAAGTCAACGTCTGGCTCGATTCCGTCCAAGACAGACAAGCAACAGTTGCCTCTGGACATCTCACTACGAGCCTGGAACCTGCACAAGCCAACCCAGCGACAACCACCAGGTCCATCCACATCACCGAGACCATCACCGTCACCTGTTGCACAAACGTCATCAACACTCGAAACTCCGGCTGAGCATTCGACGCTACAGCAAGTCTTGTCATCCACGCCAGCTTCTCCGAGCCTAGTTTGGGTTACTTCGGAATCGACAACTTCGTCGACAACAGACCTTGGTCAGCCATCGGCTACGTCCGTAGTCCCATCGTCCTCTGAAACAAGCACTGTGCCACTTACATCAGCAGAAACCGAAACAGCTGTCCAGGTACCTCGCCGCTCTTCACGTCTACGAAGACCGCCGATTAGGTTCAACCCGTACCAGCTGTATTAAGAGGGGAGATGTTGGGAACATGGACATCCCTAACGATCGCTACCAACACCAACACTACTGAGCTCACTGGTAGCAGCTAAGCTGTCACCCGTAGATGCGCGAACCAGCATAAGAAAGAGGAACAACACATCAGATATGTTTGAGTCCGCCATCTTGTATTGTGTGTGCTTCCCGCAAGTCAATGTATACTTTTAGTTCGTCATTTTAATAAAGTTTTATTTGCTAGTTTACGTTCGCGTTCATTTTATTGTACATGATGTACACGGCCACACCGTTAGCGCGTTCGTAACAGTATCAAAAAAAAATGTGAATGTTTTATGGATTTTGCTCCCGCCTTACGTAAGGACCCAATCGAAACAACGAACCTTGCGTAAATGTAAAAATCAAAGAAGGCATAAGCGCTTTTTCGTAGCTTTTTTGTCTTCAGTTTAAAAAGATCATCGGTCGTAAAGGCTTATTTTTGTGTAAAGGGCACCGCCGTCGAGGCTTAAAGTAGCATTGCTTGATTATCGTGTGTTTTGTGAAACTTAACATCGTCATCAGCGTCACCGTCGGGGCCGGTTTTGAATAATTACAACAACAACGCGATCGTGATGTGATATGAGGGGCCTTAGAGCGACCATTTTTGCTCACTGAGTAGAACATCATGAGTTTAATCTCAAGCCTTTCCACATTTAAGATTTGTTAATAGCTTTGTTTGTTGATGTGAATACAAAGGAGCTCGTTTGCCTAATGTTTCTGCTTACTGAGCAGAATATCGTGGGTTCAATCCCATGCTCCTTCGCGATATATGATCGTTGGGACATCAATTCAGCTTATCGTTTACCAAAACGAACCCTACTGCAATCCCAACCATCTTACCCAATATCCCAGTGATTCCTCGTGGAAGTGCAAAGGTGTTCTCGGCTTACATCAAAGTGAGTGTCCCGTCAACACATTCCTACCCATTCCTTCCTGCGTTCGGGCCCGGCCAGCGCTGGTATTGCCTAGTTTGAGATCACCAGTTTTTACACACTGAGGATGATTGCTAGTTCCAAGCATCGTATATTGGTTCTCTGTGTAATTACAGCTGATCTGGCAATAACAGAGTAACAACCGTGGGCGGTCAACTATGCTCATGCTCATGCTTTTTGAGGTGTGGCCAAAGTAGGAACCTATGGCCAATACTGGTTCACTTCCCCTATTTGTACATATTTTTCAATCCAGGAAAACATTTTTTTTCCTTTACAATTTTGTCTCAAACGTCATTTGAATCAGAAGTCCCAGAAATTAATTCAAAGACGCCATTTCGAGAATTTTACATGATCCAAAATGGCCGAATATCAGCAAAAATGTTAATCATGCTCATAACCAACTATTATGCAAAATTTCTGCAAATCGGAGAAGGTCGAGTTTTCCGAGTCGTCATTTGGCGTGGAACTGCTCCTTTTCAGAAACATCATTCATGAAAGTACGGAGAGGTACCGTTGTTTGCGGATGGAGTTTTAGGCGGTATTATTTTTTCTGGATTCCTTGATATCTGGTTGTTGGTAATAAAGATATTTTTTACGGTCAGTATTCTTACTTCCAAAGGCAGGCAGGACTAGGAATTGGGGAAAATAAATACCGACTAAAACTCTCTCTGCATACAACGGCACCTCTCAATTATAAAAATCGACCTGATTTAAGTTTTTCAACTTTTATTGATTTTACTTGTCATTCCAACAGCAAAATGTCAACTACTTCTCCAAACATACGATTTAATTTACAGAGATGCTTCGGCTGCAAAAGTTCCACGTTCCACCAGCAGAACCGAGTCGAATGGTGTAAGAAAAACTATGGACAAGCTTTTCCCGACCAGAAATAGTTTATTATCCGGACTTTCTCTTTTGTCCGCCTGCCATTTGCCACAACCTCCAGGGCCATTATCATTGAGTGTTTATCCGATCTGCACCGTGCCTGTTGTAGACCAGTGAGTGGGGTATTAGTTCTATGCTAGAGAGTGACTTTTGCAGATAATTAGGTTTTGGGTGAGTTTGGCGCTTTGGGAAGAAGTTTTCTAGCAGTGGTGCTGCAGGGATCGCTAATGTACAAGTTTAATGCTGCATCGGTGCGCTGCTGGACTGAAAGCTTTTGCTTTTTTGGTGATTTTAACTATTCACGGTTGACTTTATCGAAAGTGGAATACCAGATACAGGCGCTATCGGAGTTAGTCCTGTTTGAGAACTAGTCGAATGAGGGTTTGATAGTGTGTTTAATTATAGTGAAATTATTTGGGGTAGCTTAAAGTTTGATGGGGGAGTCTTATACTCACTGGTAAAATAGAATCAAATAGAGCTTTGGTGGTCCTGATATTCTCGACGATGGCACGGCATACCATACCGAAAGCGGCTGGTTTGATTCCTATTTGGGGAAAGGATTCTATCGGTTTGGAAAAATTGCAATGCTTGCAATGCAATCGAGGAGAAGAAATAGTTGCTTCTAATGACAGTTTACACAGCAAAAAAATAATTTTTATTTTACATCCAATGCACTTCAATAAAATTTCATGTAATTCTTATGGCCACTAAAATAAACAAATGCAGTAAAAGCAGCGTAATGTCAGTTCATGCACTGTTTTCATGATATTTTTTTGCTGTGTAGAAACAGCCCCTGGTTCGGGTTTAAAGTGAACTATAGCAACCGAGCTCAAGAACCATACAATACACCTCATTCAGAGAGTTGAGTTGACTAAATAATGGAGAGATTACCATTGGAAACATTTAATTCCTCTTGTCAGGGGAAAAAAGAAACACGCACCGGATAACCGCACTGTTGCAAGCTGCTGTCACCAACAAGGTTCGCAATGGGAATGCAAATCCTTATGTAAATTTGAGCTTCCCACATTTATAGAGGTTTAATTTTACACTACCCTCCAACCCCTTCTTTCAATACCCCCTTTGCAGGATTCCATGTGTTTAAACAGATTTTGATCAGTTCGAATCAGGGACGTGGAAAAATCACAAGCAACTGCTGCTGCTCCTGTGCTGCTGCTGTTTCTGTTGGCTGTTTTCTGCCTTGTGGTGCCAGCTGTGATTCTTACATGCAAACACAAACTCAAACAGCGAAAGGCAAGGAGCAGCATCACCATCAGCATCATCATCATCATCATCATCATCATATTCGTCTCGTAGCTGAAGGCACCAACCAGCACCCAGCTGTTGAAACATGGTCCGCGCGTGGAAGCGAAATGAGATCTGGATGGGAGCAGTCCATGTGGCGTGGTAGATGGGTGATCAAAATCTCACTATCGGCAAACATTAAATGGTGTTTGCATGTACCCGCAGCTCCGCATCGGATGGGGTTTGGTTGCAATGGTGAAAGAGATCGAGATTAAATCTTGACAGTCTTCTCCGAGAAAAAGAGCATCAGCTGCCACTTCATTTCCAACGGTAAACTCGTTTTGGCGGGTGCTTAGGAAGAAAGCGTACGGAAGCATAGATTCTGTTGTGTTCCGGGTATGGTGTTTCTTTTTCGGCGAAATAAGATAGGAACCAGCGAGCGAGATCGTGTGGCATGGAAACCGGAAAGAATCGTTACCGAGTTTGGATGTATGGCAAAAGTCACATCACTTTCGGCGCTAGAAACTTATTTGCAGGAGAGTGGATTTCAGTTTTGGCATTTAGGTGAGGGAAAACAAAGAAAAAGTTTTTTTGTTTAAAGACTCGTTTAGTACCACATGTGGCTCAGTGTTTTTTTCCCCTACACCCTAACCAAACGATTTACGATCGGATTTTTTTAAGGGAATTGTAATGCTAGTAGTATTAACTCTAGCGACAAAGTAGCAGGATCTATAATATACAGTGGTTTATTGCAATTTTTTTTCCTTGATTTGATTTCCATAGATCTTATTTTCCGTACTGAGTGGCAATGCGACTAGCAGGCAGCTCTCACACCTGGAGCCTACACAACAAAAAAATAATTTTGATATCACATCAAAGTGGATGCACTTCAGTCGTGTAGAAAATATGGTGTAATATTACTTGCCAAGAGGGCAAAATTATCATTTATACAGCGCATGAACTGACATTACGCTGCCTTTACTGCATTTGATTATTTTTATGGCATTAAAAATTACATGAGATTTTCGACATGATTGAAGTGCATCCTCTTGGATGGAATATTAAAATTAAAATAAAACCTTTAAACTCTTTTCGGCTCTTCAGAAGAGCTCTTCGGCTCTTCAAGCGTACAAAGAAAAAATTTAAATTTTAACTATCGCGTAGAATCTCCACTCGTTTAACTTTGAGCTACAGTTGGCATAAACAATGAAATCGTTTACAAGTTTGCATACAATATTGCTAATTTAAGCAACATTGCGCCTAAATTTACACGAAATATCGTGTAAATTTATGCCAAATCTAGCGCTAATTTTATGTGCGCTATATCTCACATAAATTTACAAGAATTTTGCAAACGGTGCAGAGGTGGTAAATTTCATAGACAATGTCACGTGTTATAAGGCGAAGACATACATTTTATTTTAAGTCTAGTTACCACTTACCACAAGGGGTAAGTCACTCAGCACAGTGTGCCGAAAGTAGATTCGGCACAGCTTGTACACATCCATCTGCATACCTTCGGCACAATCTCGTAGGCATTTGATTGTTCGTTAAATAAAATGGGAGCATTGCTATACAGCTGTCATTGAAGTTGTTCACAACATTATGTGCTGTTTGACTGTGTATTTCAGAAACATATTCTAGTTTAATATACCAGAGGAACTCAGACCAGCAATTCACTTCTCGGTTCACATTTAAATTCGAAATGTAGGCTTCCGAGGGCTGTAGATTGCTATCGATGCCGGTCCCATTGGATGTATTGGAACATGCAGTGGTGGTGGTTGGATACGGAAAACTCAAAGGAGAGATTATAACTGGCTAATCAAGAACTCCTGCTCCAACTATTGGGGCAACGATGGATATGCTTTGATGGTGGTGAAGGGTAAGAACTGTGGCCTTACCACCAATACGACGTATGTA